CTAAGAAATCAATGACAAACTAAACAGAATCAAAAGATGCTAGACACATTGCTAAGACATTTGTAAGTCTATCTGCACCTTTTTTTGTTCAGATGCATGGCTTTGCATGACATGGCACTTTTGGTTTCCACGCTCCTCCCCTCCCCTCCGCAACCTGTTCTTCATCTCGAATAAAGTGAAACAGAATTTTATTTGACTGGAATGTGATTATTTGTTTTCTTTATATACTGCTTCAATTAACAGGTAATACCATTACTCAGAATTTTGTAGGTAGAAATTGACAAATAAGTCAAACCCTGTCTCTAAGAACAAGGTTAAGCTTCTGTTGCAGGCATCTCAGTGAAAGCAGAATAAAGACTTCAGTCTTTACATTTGGTTTATTACAAGGACAAGTTTTTAATAACTGGACTTGCATGTATAAGCTCCCTTAAGTATTTTTTCTTCCTGTTGCCGCATTGAGAAAACATAGATGAGGGAACTGGGGTTGTTTAGTCTGGAGAAGAGGAGGCTGAGGGGAGACCTTATCGCTCTCTACAACTACCTGAAAGGGGGTTGTGGTGAGGTGGGTGTTGGTCTCTTCTCCCAAGTAACCAGTGATAAGAGGAGAGGAAATGGCCTCAATTTGCACCAGAAGAGGTTTAGATTGGGTATTGGGAAAAATTTCTTCCCCAGAAGGGTTGTCAAGCACTGGAACAGGCTGCCCGGGAAGTGGCTGAGTCACCATTCCTGGAGGTATTTAAAAGACGTGTAGATGTGATGCTTAGGGACGTGCCTTAGTGGAGGACTTGACAGTGCTAGGTTAATGGTTGGACTCAATGATCTTAAGGGTATTTTCCAGCCAAAATGATTTTATCATTCTATAATGAGACTCTATGAAATCATTTTTCTTCCCCCCAAAAATTTCTGTATGTATGCCATTAGCTATTATTATCTTTAGCACTTCACAAAATACATATCAAACAAATCACTAAGGTCTTTTGTTCCTTCCGAGTTATTTTTAGCCATCTATCTGCAAATAACGAACACCACACACTAGTCAATAAGAGATTAATATTACTATGTAATGGTAGTTGAAATTTAATACTTGGAGCATATTCTTGAACTACAAACACTAAGTTCCCTAATCATTATGCTGATGTAAAACAGTTTCAATAAATATATCACATACCTTAATAGGATTGCTAAGTCTTGTGGCTTGTTCATAATAGCTCCATATCCTAGATTTGTATATATTTGTGTGTATTTCCTGATACTGTATTAGCTTCAAGAATGAGACTGTTCCACAAAACAATTCATATTTTTCTTTTCCCCTTCCTGAGCCTTTCACATTCAAATTACAGAAGAGAACTACCTAAAGACTGCATTGCTTGGAATCACGTAAGTATGGTACAAGCCAAGAGTATGCAGTGTTTCTTCAGCAAATCACAGAATTCCACAGTACCCTTTTCCAGCATTTAATACTCCTGGTTGATCCCTCTCCATCTGTAGTGAATAATCTTTACTGAAGATGCAGCAAAAATTAAAGCAGCAACCAATACCAATGAAACATTTATCTCCTGGGAACTAAGGATATAGGTGGCTAAAGTTCCTAACAGTTAATTACTGAAGTTTGGGAACTTTTTCCTGCGTTGACCAACTTATCTGCAACTTCTGCCAAGTAAGGTTCTATGCTTACATGAGTTGCTAAAACTAGAAGGGGCAAAGGAGTGGTCTGGCTTGTTATTTTGTGCAGATTGTTATGGAAATTAATTCAATACTGCGTAAGGTCTGGGGTTTTTTTTTACAATTTTTTAAAAGGAATTGAGACCATGTGCTTCAAAAGAACAGGATTATTGAATGTGGAAACTGTTGGTGAAAAATACTGCTAATATGCATTGTCTATTTGTAATTGTCTCAGATACGGTGAGTGTTTCTTAGATTTAGATTTGTTTTTCAGGTGTATCACAATACTTGCTTCATTATGCAGGTGATTATTTTACAAAGCATTTCAGATTTTCATACAGAAAACATTTGTGCTTATCATACTATCTTGAAATGCAAATAGTCATTGTTTGGTTATGTGATTCTTGGATGCCTTATGCTTTTCTGTCTAGAACTGAGCAAGTTAGCAGATAGATGACACCTTTATTCCCACCTACAACTCTATCACTCAGTCAAGATTTGCCTGTTATTTATTTTTTACTGGTGGATTAACTAGGAATTGCCTGGCTGGTATATGCAAGTATGTATATGCATCACCTAGGAGTCTGAGCTTTGTTATTTCACCTAAGAAATGCAATCATGATCTTGGTCACAATTTTTGCTTTTGTGACTGCAGATGGGATCTAAGGATCTAAAATTCTGCTCACAGCAGACCCAGGATCTTTATAAAAACTTTTTGATTGTTTTTAGGGCAGTTCTGGAACAAGAATTCTAAATATTCTTGTACTACTTCAAGGGAGGAGTAAATTGGCTTTTAAGTCTCCTCCTACAAGGAGTAAAAGAAAGTCCATGCCATTAATTGTTACTGACTCATCATCTGCGGATCGGTACAACTAAGGCTGAAACAAATGACGAATGAACAGGCATGACGAGATAAGACACTAATGGGCAAAAAGGGAGAAAGACTGAACTCTCTTTTTGCTGGATGTCTCCTAGTTTTTTATCTCTCTGGGTTTTTATTCCTTGTTGCATCAAGCAGATTGAGAACTACGTGCAGAAGTTTGTCTTGGTAACTGCCCTTGAGAATGTTTTTAAATGCTGTAAAATCTGAAAAGAAAAGCATTCATGTACTCATGGGTCCTGTAAAATGGTAACTGTCTCTCAATCTGCAAAGCTTGTACTCCAGCAAAGCCAGGCTCCCAAATTCATGATGCCAATGTGCTCTTCACATAGATGGCAAATCTTGACTCAAGAAACGGAACTGCTAAGACTTTCAACAGTTGTTTTTTCAGAAGTTCCCAGGGGGCTCAAAACTGGATCCAGCAGTTTGAGCATTTGGCCATTTCATATGCTTTCTTCCATCAAATCTGCTGCCCTAGAAAAAGTATTGTTGTCGTCGTCTTTTTATGTGACTGGAAGTTCTTAAGTAGTGTGAAACTACAGTATCTACAGATTTTATGACAAGAAATGGTTTTGAATTCTTTTTTGAGCAACAGTGGTTACTTGAGGACAGCACGTCTGAGGACTTGTCGTGATGTCAGTACTTCTGAGGGAAGGCAGAGATGATGTGTCGGGGACATGGACGACACACGCACAGACGTGCCGTTTCATTCCCTGCTGTTACTCCCCCTTGGCCACTTCTCCTTCAGCAAAAGGCACCGCACCCTGTGCCTCATCCCAGGGTGTTCTGCACTGTTCCCTCAGTTTTAATCACTGCTGTTCACTCGTATGGGCACAACACATAGGTCAGTGTCCTTCCCTCACAGAAAAATGTTAAAGCAGTGTAAGAACAGGCTTCTCCTGCTTGTTCCAACACTAAAGAAAGAAAAATGAATCAAATGTTACAGGCTGTTTTCTCCTCAGCAACCAAAACCAGGTCTGGACATACTTTATCTGTACTGCTGGACAAAAGGGAACTGTGCTGTTTATGTGAAACAATAAACATTTTTTGTGAGCAGTGAAGGGTCTGGGTCTGCTTTTTGCAGGACTGAACTGCCGAGAGCTATCAACCTGGCTGAATACAGAGAGGCACTGCTCAAACTGAAAAGTCAATATAACTTGAATTTTTTCTGTGCTGCATAGAAGCTATCAGCACTATTTTATGCTGACAGTAAAAACTATTGCTGTAATACTTCTTGGAAAAATGGAAATTTTCATGTATTTAAATAAAGAGAACCTCAGCATATCTTTTGGGCTGTATTCCTGCCAAAACCAGACTGTACTGCTAAAACACTCTCCTTACCAGCGTTAGCTGATCAAGTGCCAGTGACTACCATGAATTTTGCATGGGTAAAGAAGGTTTGCCCTAACGTCTATTATTTTGTCTGAGAATTTTTGACCCAGTGAAGGAGAATCAACTGAGCTATTAGTGGTGCTGGCATCGTTAGTGGAGAGATTTGTAGTTGGGCAAGGGGTGGAGGAGATGGGAAAATGGCTGGAAATCTTCTAGAGGGAGATGCTTTACTGCCCTCTAATCCATGCAAAAATATCCGTGGAGCTCAATGACAGGCAAATGCAAAGTACAAAAAGCAAGTTATGTTAGTGACTTTGAGGAATTTAAGGCCTAGTTTATCGCAGGCAGTTGTGGATGATCTCTGAGCTCCTGTGGC